ATTTGGTTTTAAATCTAAAATGCCTTTTAATGTATTGCCATTAAGACAAACTGCTCTTGAGTACTTAGCCCACAGGAGTATAATAAAGCAGATTAAAGTTTTAGCTGTAAAAAGTCTTAGGACAGTTTCCTCCAGAAATTTGGTTTTAACTGCTTCCATAAAACATACTTTTTAAGAACCTTAAAACTAATATGCTGCCATCAGGTAAATTATTTACCTTAGGGTCTCTTAAGTAAATATGGTCCTTTAAAGGTATAAATGACATCCCATAAAAAGCAAAGTTAAAACTTACAAGCGTAATAGGCGTTATGTTGTGTCTAATAAAGCTTTTTATTTAAGTACCTATACTTTACTTATAATATGGTTCTAAAAACAATTAACCCAAACATATTTTCAGAGTGTGATAAAGCTTTGATACTCACCCCTCTAATAGTTATTTGTTTTACAAGTGTTGAAAAGCAACTTTTTCATGCAAGTGTTTAAGTTGCTCACGAGGCCGTCAGTCCGAGTGTGCATTAACACGAGCTTAAAGAAAGCTTTTCTCACATGTGAAACACAATATTTTTTATAGGACCCTTTTATTTTTTATTTTCAAATACAAAACAAAATAACCTAAAAACGTTTGACAGCTGTTAAAATTACTTTAATCTTATTCTTTTAATTTTTAAGGTATAAGTTACTTAAAATCAATAAATCAATTTAAATAAAGGCACTAAAAATTAGAATTTAGTATACAAACACAATTAACTGTGTTCTAAATGATATTTAGGCAAACATATACAAATACAATACAAATTTTGAAACGAATGTCAAACGATGCTGTCAATTTCTTTTCACACAGACCTGTCACTTTTCACACAGAAATGTCAGTTTTTGAGAGTACTTTTTTTGAGAATTCATATTGGCGACCCTATACTAAATTTTATTAAAAAATTTTAAGTAGGAACTATTTTGTGGCCAGATCACAAATGAACAATAATAACTATTTACAAAAATTTATTCTGTCAAGTTATCCATGAAAAAAAAATTGAAATACAATTAAACTAATAGTAACATGGTATAAATATTTTTATGCTTAGTTTTAACAAATAAAAAACGCAATAGAAACTTAAAACAATGAAACAAAAATAGATAATTCCAAAAAATGATCTACAATTAGATTTTCGTCACCTCTACTAATCCACCATTTATTTCAATACACTTTCATATTTGTTCTTGTGCATTTTTAATTCATAATCGCAAATATTTTAGGGTTTACCATTAGTTTTTCCACTTTTCAATCGTGTAATAATTTATAATAAATAAATTTTAAATCTGAAATCCCATTTTATCGAGAAAAGTCAAAAGCTCTCGGGACACCAGTTACTACGTAATACGTAATAAAAGGAAAGCCGCCCGCATGGGATTTCCATTGGACCGAGCCATGCCTTGCAAGGGAAGGTTGATGTGATGCGTAGTCCGTCGACAAAACGCAAACTTTATATGTCAAGGCGAATTGAAAGGACCGACCGACTACCGCGGCGAGTTTAGGGACAAAAAACAGATTCAATCGAAGGTTCGTCGTAAAAACTTTTTGCTATTTCTCTACGATATGATATACAGGAAAATCCTTGGGGTTTAAGCGAAATAAATTAGTTTAGTTCCCTGAAGTTGTTGCGACAAACTGAGGTTCCCAGAGACGTTGGATAATTGGTTTTAATAGAAAAGCAATATTGATTTATTAAAAATAGAACGATTACTAGATGAGAGAAAATGCGGGTCTGTGAAATATAAGAAAATTGACTATATTTTAAGAATAAAAAATAGACCATACTGTTATAAAATTTTAACGTACTTTTTTGTAGAAAACCATGGTTTGTAATTATTTTAACAAAGGAAAATATTTCACCGAAAGTTTTATAAAGGTAATATGCAATTTTGAAAGCATTTTGTTAATGTTTAACAAATTATTTCGTTAAAAAAGTGATTTCAGGCAGTCAATCAAAACATTTCCCACTGACAATACGCATCAACAAGTTCAACTGACTTCTATTCTAATCTGTAACGTGTTCGTACACAGTAAAAAAATATTTGTTAATTTTAACCAAATATTAACCAGATTTTATGTTAATCCATGTTAACATTTTGAAGATTTAATAACAAAATCCTGTCAATAATTCAACCATAATTCTTGATATTTTCAAAAAGGACCTTATTTTTACAAACTTTTTTGTAGACCCAGTGACAAAAGAATTTACTGGAAATTGGGAACTTGAAAAAAAAAAATTTTTATTTATGTAGGTATGGGTTAATTTTTTTGTTTAGGAAATTGATTAATAAAGCAACATTTTTTATCAAAATTATTTCCCAATTTCCAACAAATACTTTTGTTACTGGGTCTACAAAAAGGTTTGCAAAAATAAGGTCCTTTTTGATAATTACAAGAATTATGGTTGATTTTGTTATTAAATCTACAAAATGTTTGCTATAATTACAAACTACTTATTCAATTAGCTAACAGATTACAGTTGGTTGTAAACTTAAGATAAAATTTTGTGAACCTGGATTAACATAAAATCTGGTTAATATTTGGTTAATTATTTTAAATATTTGTTTTACTGTCTACGATACGTCCCTGGAATATATTGCAAAAATAACCCCTAATATACAGTGTGTCCGCGGATGGACTATACTTGTAAAAATATTTATTTTCAATTTTTCGAAGAAAAGTCACTTCTCATAATTTCTTCTGCTTCTTATATTAATACCATTCAGGATAAAAAACTTCTATTTTGTTATACAGGGTGGGCAAAAAAATACAATGGTAGATTTTGCAAAATTAATAACTCTTAATTTTTTTTTAAGGTCTAATATGAAGAGCTTTTAAGGATAAACCAAAATGCCAAATAAAGTTTTTTCATGTGAGTTGTTGTTACTAAGATATTTGTTATTAAAAATAAAATCAGTTTAGGTCCTAACTTGAGTGGTCCTATTATTTGGTTTTCAAAAAACACCCGCCTTCCGCTGTCCGTAAGTTTGAATTCCAAGAACTTTGTTAAAAATTATCGGATCTTATTGATTTAAAAACCAAGTGAAAGCCTAACAAGCCCTTAGTAAACTCTTTCAGAAAATGTTTGTTTAGTTATTTCAGAATATATTTTTTTTAATTTTGAAACACACATTTTCGCATGTCCCATTAGCGTTTTATAAAACTTACATACATGTTTTTTTTTAATATTGAATAACCAGAACTTTGTGTTGCTTTATAGCAATCCATAACATCCTTAGTTAATAAAGCAAACAATTTATATATAAATTAATTAATTTTAATCTACTTTTTTTTAAATTTGACTTATGTCCCAGACATTTTTTCCATTGAGTTACGTCCGTCGCGTTACCGATAGAATATTTTAAAAAACATATATGGCAACTTTTTTGGCACTCACGTGTTGATGTGTTGATGTTCGGACGTACACATTACCCAGCTGAATTCAATCAGGGAGAAGATATCGGTTGAAACAGGTGCGGGTAACGCGAATGTAATAATTGTTTGTCCGCTAAGTTACTCAAAAAAAAAATAAAAATAAGGTAAGAAAAAATACTATTTTTCATGTTTATGTTTATTTTAGGGCACTAAAGCTCATTGAGAGTAATTCATGACTGTATTATTATTATTTTTTAAATATGGTTTCACAAAACTTTATCCACTGCGTTACCGAGTCCATTACGTTACCTTATGGTAACGCAATGGAATTTAGGATAACGCAATAGAATTTTTCGACAACAAAGTGGATATTTACCGTCGCTTTTATTAAAAGTAGTTTATGGTAAACCAATTTAAAATTATTTGTGATTACAACTCATGATATAGATTACATCCTAGGGAAAATTCCACGCAATATACAAGTACTAAAATACACCAGCTTATAGAAAAAGAAAAAGGGTGTCTATAATTTAGAAATCTAAGTTATTCTGCTAGTGAGCACCACTACAAGGGATTTTGTTTATGCATTACTCTAAAATCGTACCACCCTATATAGTTTCTTTTTTACGTTATCTGATTAAGTCCTTTGTGTACCCGAGTCCGTTGTGATACCAATGTCTATTTCGTTACTTTTTTTAGTTTTTGTTAAAAAAAATCCTTAAAATGATTTTACTATCACTTGGTAATACCTGTTTAAAAATTAGAGTTTAACTCACTAATAAAGCACTTGACTAAAAGAAAATATTAATGGTATTGTTTTTTTAACAAAGAATCGGAATAGTGTCTTTTAAAAAGTAACTTAACTAACATAAATATTTAAAAAAGGCATACAATTTTTAATAAAAAATAAAATTGGAGTGAAAAGTTTGTGAACTAAGTACATTTTATTTCAAATTATTTTTATAACAACTTTTTTTATTGAATTAAATTTTGGATTTCAAATTGGTAACACAGTGGAGACATATAAAGCTAGCTTTCTGAAAAAAACGTAAAAAAAATTAAAAAGTGCACTGCCTGTCTTAAATGTAAGTAAACAAAACTGTAAACATTTATAAAAATCCAACCAAAAATCAATTTAAGCAAAAAAAAAATTTTGATCTTCATTTTCCTGAAAGTGTTTCTTGAAAATGACCCATAAATTAACTGCTATCTCATTTTGTGATTGACATGTTTACAATTATTTGTTAAAATTTGAAAACTAATATCTTAAATTTTCAATATCATTTGACTTTTTGATTTCTCCTTACCAGCTCTTCATATTAACACTTCAAAAAAAATATTTAAATTTTTTTTATTTTGAAAATCTGTATTTTTGCTCACCCTGTACAATAAAATGGATGTTTATCAACGCGAATCGTATTTATATAACAAGAAAAAAATATATAAAAAATTACTTATTCTCAAAAAATTTAAAATAAATATTTTTACAAGTATAGTTAAGTCCATCCGTGGACACACTGTATAAATGTTATTTTTCTTCAAATAATTGTTTTTTTAGAAACAAAATGTAATAAATAAATAAAAAAAACTATCTTACTTGATTGCTGAGGGGGTGAAGGTCAACTTCGTCGTTTTCATCACGGAGCAGTTCTAACTGATTGCTGGAGGGTTTCTGGCCGACCGTTGATTGGACTGCGAGCGTTGTGGTTGTTGTTGATGATGTTGATAAAGTCGTTGAGTCCGCATAGTTTCGGCCGCGGGTTTCAGAATCTCCCATGCCCCAATCTGCTAACAAGTACACCATTCCCCCGTCACCACAATCGTAAAAAGGAGTTTGTCACCACCACGATGCCACTTAACACTAACACGATGATGTGGTGAAGAAATTTTTGAAGAGGAGTATTGTCTGGAAAAAAAAGAAAGAAATATATATAAATATCAATTTACAAATTAGTATCTCTTTCCATATATACCACCCCATAAATTTTTACATTTTTAAATTCTACATAAAATTCTGAGTAAAATTACTATACCATATCCTATACCTATACCTAAACCTAAAGTTTTTAATTTTTTCAAATTAAAGAAATGCACGTCAATCAAAAATGACCTAATTTTTTGTTAATACATTTGAGAATATGGGTGGAATTTTTGGAATCTTAAAACATTGTTTAAAAGATTCCATTTCTATTCTTTAACATTTTTTAACAAATTACCTGAGAAAACCCAGGCCAAATTGGGTTAACTTAAAAAAGTTAATAACTTTTTTACTTTAAACATTATACCCGGTGTTTACATAATCAAATAGTAGGTAAATTTAATAATATTTAATGTTAATAACACTGTGCAACATTTTCGGAAAAAATTTAAGATGATGGGGTTCTGAAAGTATTTTCGGTTTCTACAATCAAAATCATGAATAGCGTTAACAGAATGTTTTTTTTTAATATCAATTTAAAGTTTTAGTAATTCTGGATCCCAAAATAACGTAAAATAATAAATAATTAGAACAATAAAATGCAATCTTTTTAAAAAATTGAACCTTTTACTGGATTTAATATGTTGTAGTGCAATTTCTTAGTTCTTTCGCTTCTACCATAATAATAATTATGGTAATTATTATTATTATTATATTAATTATTAAAAACATATTCTTTTTAACAAATAGAATAAATCAACATAATAGATATCACAAATTATATTTATAATTTTATGCCAAAATTTCCATTGCCATACCCCAACAAAAATCTGCCAACATCGAATCAAACCTCTTTCCTCTATAACGATTTTCCATTTCCATTATTGTTTGATGCTCTTCTGATTCGGTGGACAGCTGATTTTCGAACAGGTCAAGATGTGCATGGAGCAAATGTACTTTTAGTGACATGTTTACACCCATTTTTAAAATATCTTTTATTTTTATTATTTCTTTTTAATTTATTGTTATGACAACAATTTCCTACCAGTAAATTGGTTTAAATTAATAAATAACGGTTTTCGGGTTCCAAAATTAATAAAACTTAAAATCAATATTAAACAAAACCTGAGTCAATCTAAACATTCTGTAAGGCAAAAAGGCATTTTTTGGATATATCCTATAGGAGAAACGAAAACCACTTTCAGAACCCCATCATTTTTTTGTTTAACGGGTTTTCGGGTTTCAAAATTAATAAAACTTAAAATCGATATTAAAAAAAACCTGAATCAATCTAAACATTCTGTAAACGCAAAAAGGCATTATTTGGATAGTAGAAACGAAAACCACTTTCAGAACCCCATCATTTTTTTGCTGTTGCACTGTGTAATTTAAGAGATTGTTGGTTTATAAAATTGTTACATTTTACGCAATCTTTTTTATAAAGCAAATACTGTTTTTATGACTTTTTAACTTTTAAAATGTTTTTATAAGTCACAGACTACTATTTTTTATCAGTAATATTGTTTAAAAACACTTAATTAGTCAACAAATTGTTTATAACCTGAAAAATTGACGTCATTAAATTTTGAACAATGACAGATTACTTGGTAACCATATCTATAGATACCGTCAACTCACCCGTCACAGGTTTCTTAATACAAAATATTATTTAAAATTTTAGAAATTGATAAACTATCTCTGTTTTAATTTACTATTTGATTATTATAAACATACCGGGTGTTTAAAATAAAAAAGTTATTAATCTATTAAGTTAGCCCTGGGTTTTCTCAGGTAATTTGTTAGAAAGTTGACAAGAAATCTTTTAAACAATGTTTTAAGATTTTAAAAACTCCACCGCCATATTCCCAAACCTATTAACAAAAAAGTTATGGGCTATTTATGATTGACGCACATTTGTAACGAAAAAATGTAATGATTTGAAAACTATTCACTTTAGCTATAGAACATGGTATAGTAATTTTACATATGTATATATATTCCGTTCCCCAGAAACTTCTGATGGGCCACGAATGTGAAACCCTGTATATTATATTTATTACAGTGGTTTACAAATTAATTAAAAAAATGTACATTTGGTGCAAGATTTTACTATGTATGCGCTATTTTTTCACTATTTGATCCCATTGCAATTAAACTACTCAACTGATTGAGCATTAAGAGAGTGATATTGGTCGGCGATTCTATTATGTCAGTTTGACATCTTTTGCAACTCGAAATATGTACCAAAATTTGGTAACCAAATTGTAAAGCTGCATTCAATCAGGTCAAAATGCATTATAAAAAATAGTGGCATCGAATCTACATTTTGGCAGTAAACCAGTTTTATTATTAAATTTAGATATTCTTCTTTGAATAATAATTGCCATTCTAAAAAATACTGTGATTTGGAAATACAAACTATAAAAGGCTACACAAGTAGGTATTTTACTCGTACTTAGTCCCTTTATCTCGAGTTTCAATTTGTCATCAATATTTTTATTATTTAATTTATCTACTAAAATAAACTAAGGTTTTTTTTAATTAAAATGTCATTACCTGTTACGGCCACATTGAATTGATTGTTTTATGGATTTATAATGGCTTACAACACTTATAATGTTATATAATTTATATCACATCTTAACTAGAAATTTTTCATGTTTTGACAAAATTGTCAACTGTATTAACCTGTATTATGTTAATTAAATATTTGTGTTTTATATTATAAAATTTATATAATATAAATCTACGCTTTAAAATTGTATAGTTCAATAAGTGTATTTTTTAAATAGCAGATAAAAGAATAAAACGTGCTTTAAGCTAATTAAATGAGATTGCAGTTACCTATTAAACAATGGTTAATAAAAAGTAGTCTTACTCAATTAGTTTTTTTATAATATCCCTTAATATACCTTTTTATTGCACGTTTTATATACTGATTTTTTGCAAATAAAAACGTCAAAAATATTTTTCTGATATCCAAGTAACGCAGTAATTTAATAACCTTATATTTTAATTGTCATTATCCTTTATACACAAAGATTTTTATAAAACCACACAAACAAAATTCTTTTGTGTTATTAGTAATGATTCTTAAACTCATATATTTAGCATACGTGTGCAATATGGCAACTATTTCTTGACTGACTAACTGAAGAAAATACCTCGGAAAATACGAAATTCTGTAAGTTTGCCACAAGAGCCGAAGGCGAGTTTGACGGTTTCACGAGAGGGAAATATACAATTTGAAACGTGTTTCAGACTATACTATTTCTACATTTCCAAAAAATACCATAGAAAATAGTATATTATGTATCAAGTTTGATAAACGCCATTTTATACACGAATTTAATGAAGGCTCGAGCGAGCTTGCGAGCGAGTATAGAAAAGTTATAGAAAAGTTTATAAACGAGGTGCATACTTATTATTATCTTAAAATGATTTAAATCAAATTTTTTTATAGAGCTCCATCTATGAAACAATAGGGGAATCTGTGTGTCACCGTCAAATGTCAAATTTTTATATTATAAAGGTTATAAATCGAAATGTATTTCTTGAAAATTGACAGTTTTTCACAGTGAAAGTAAAGAAAATGTTTTATGAGCACTTTACAGTGCCCGAATTTAAGTTATGCCGGCGAAATTAAAAGGTCAGTACAATGTTCTTATAAACTTTCAAATATTGGCGTTGAGAAACTATTTAATACTTTTGTATTTTTTTATTGAGATAATAAAATAATTTTCACATTTAGTATTATTTTACAAGAAAGGCACTTTATTTTAACGATTGTATGACATTTGACAACTGTCAACTAACTTAAAACTAACTTCAGCCCGTGACTAAAAACCTGTTGCTAACTTCAGCCCGTGACTAAAGCGCCATAAAGCCACAACTTGACAATGTGTATTTAAAAGGTCACTAGTGTAATAGAAACATGTACGATAAAGGGCGTTTTAAAGGTGGGATTAGAAAAAAGTTATTTACTACTTACTATATAGTCCGTATAATAATACAAAATTTGTTCTGGTTTTAAAAACAAAGTTATCAGTGCTTAAATTTTAAGTAACTTTTCTTAAAGTTATAGCAATAGAACTTTTTTGTTAAACTATTATACAGTGAAATATACAATTAAATAAATAAGGAAATAAATAAGTAAATAGGTACTAATTTTAAAAATTTACGTGTTGTTTGACGCAAAACCTAGGTAAAGAATACAATTTGTGCATAAATTTTGAAGTACTTCGCTATCTTACTTTTTAACTACTTACTTTTTAACTACCTATATCTACAACTGACACGCGATTTCAAGTTAATAGTTATAGATAATGCTAACAAGAAATATTTATTTATAATATAAAATCCAATAAATTTTAGTTAATACCTAGTTAATTAAAGTGACTTTACTTTGAAAGGAATATATACAAAGCGGCATAATTCAAGGTTAAAATTATTTGTTTTTATCTAATATTCTAGTTTTTTTAGCTATAATAAATTATAGCGGAAAATGACGTAACTGAAATTAATAATGTAATAATGTACTTAAATTGAGAAACTCAATATTTTTTTAATTATCAAAAGGAAATTTTGGTTTAACCAAAAATTGTCATTGATGAATTTTAATTAGGAAGCTTGCGAGCGAATGAATAATAATAATACTATACTTTTTCTAAGACAAATAGTATTGTAAAAAATTATTTATTAATCTGTTTTAATCAGTTTGTCAAAATTGTCTGTAAAAATCGAAATTTCTCCCTTGAAAAAGGACTAACAACCGTTTAAATCCGATAAAAGGAGTTTTTTTAGTGAAAGTAAAGAAAATCTTTTTATGGGTGCTTTATCAAATACTAGTTTGCTGCTGGCAAAATTAAATAGTCAGTAAAAACGTG